CCAAAGCCACGTACTGAGCCAGATCTGGGGGAGACACTGAGACCTGCTCTGGATCAGCCCTCCCACTGCCTCACCAGTGGGAGACGTCAGCCCTATGCTACCCAGCCAGGCACTGTCCCTCTCCCCACACTGACTGGTCCTGAGGGCTGACAGCAGCCTGTGAACCTGAAGAAGCATGGCTCCTGACACCCTCCCTGGGCCCCATGACTAATGGCCCAGACCTTGCACTGAAAAGTCATTGGTCTGTGGGCAGAGAGGGCCCTGTGGGGAGCACACAGGGCCTTGGCTGACACTTGCTCCTGCCCACATAAGACCCAGACACAAACTAGCTCAGAGCCTCAGAGACCACACTGCCTTACCAAGTCCCTGTGTCTCTGCCACCTCTCCCCAGCCAGTCTGCAAAACTCCAGAGGGAAGAGTGAGATCCAGTCCCCCACCAAAGTCTGACAGCACCCAGCCCATATCTCCTTCCCAGTTACTCCTCTCTGTGGGTCTCTACCTGGGTGCAGGGGGCTCCCCAACACACAAGGAGACACATGAGGGAGTGGAAAAGTGACCTGTTGCTTTAGGATTGTCTGATCCTTTGACCAACACGTCTGAGGGCAACACAGGCAGGATCTATGGGAGTGCAGTTGCTGCTAGCACTCCGCCTCATCACCATACCTTTCTGTTTTTCTGTAGTCTCAGTTGTTGTCCACAGCAACCCAGCCTCCAGGTTGAGTCCCAGGAATAGCAGCTCATAACCGGGCTGGAGACTTGGAGTGGCTCTGGTCCAGCGTGGTCTCCTCTAGGAGGTCTGAGGCCAGTCAAGGCCGATGACCCCAAGCAGCTCTATGGCCTTTGCTCTCTGGAAGCTCCTAGTCCCCTTCTTCCTGCTTGAGCACACTGTCCAGGCTCTGCCCTGCACCCCAACTGTGCCAAACACAGCCTCCATCTGCACTTCCAGCCAGAGTTGTAAAGAGGGAGGGTACCCTCTTCTCTGGCTCTGGTCAGACACGCAAAACTTTCTGGAGAAGACCGACAGGAAGGCAGGAAGGCGCGACTCCAGAGGAGAGGAGGGAGCCAGCAGAAGGCAGGTCGGATGGAGACACAGTGCAAGGCCCTAAGAAGAGCAAGGGGCATGGGGCAGAGCTCAGTGGGGATGTGGTGCCGCAGGATCCTGAGGAGCCTGAAACCCTGTGTCAGAGTTTCTCTTTCTCTTCTTGCTTCTGCTAAGGAACAGCCGAGGGTTTAGCCTTTCGTCTCCTGAGATAATCCTGACCTGTTTCTGCAGCTGAGCCAAAGAGAATCCCTGGTCGGAAGACGCAACACAGCGGCCGGCAGCCCGCGGCATCTTGGGGCCTGGGAGAGCCCGGTGGAATCTGCAGTTTCGCAAACATTCGCAGCTCAGGTGGGGTCTGAGGAAGCGTAGGCCCATGTTCTCCTCTCCAGTGGGTTACTCTGTCCACAGGGGCAGTGGTGAGGAGGCACAGGAGCTCTGGCGATGCCTGGAAGAGACCTCTGCGCGGCTGAGTGCGAAGGAGCCAGGAGCCGGGACTCTTGACTCAGCTGGAAGGAAGGACAGAGATGGGGCTGCGGGACAAAGGGCAAGGAGCAGGCCCTGTGGAGAGTGGGGGAGTGGAGACAGATGGGGGAGACCTGAAAGGGGCTGTAGTTAGGGACAGAGCATCCCCACCTGGACAAGAGAAGGTGGCTAGGCTCCTCTGTCCTCTGAGCGAGCGCTGCGACCAAGGGAAGTTCCCACTTCAACAGGCTGTCTCAAGTGAACCCGGTGGGCATGGGCGGTGACTCGGACAGGGGCTCGGAGAAAGATGCCAAGAAGCTATGTGACCCAGGACACACCCGCGGTGGCATTGCGTGGGGGCTGCTGGTGTGTCCGCCTGTGCCAAGACAGCATGCGGGCGCCCCAGGAACACGCCCCTGGATGCAATCAAGGATCCCGACTGGGGCCTGGACACATGCCTGAGGCTCAGGGGGGCCTCAGAAGCTGGACCACAGGGACCCCTATTCAGCCAAGGGGAAGCGGGAAGGAAAGATATGGAGAGGAAGAGGCCGAGCACAAGGAAGGGGGGAGCAGGAAACAGGAGGAGCGGGATGAAATGCTGCACCAGGCCCTGCAAAGGGAGAAGATTTGTCTTCGGTCGTGAAGCAAAAGGCGAAGATCTGTGCCTGGAACTAGCACTCTCCCTTACGGGCGATCGCCCTACAGCGGCTGCAGGGACGCACCGTGGCCAGCAGAGGGCAGGACGCACCCAGCCCGCCCGACCCCAGTCGCGGAGCTCAGAGTCTCCCGACCCAGCGCGCAGGGTCCTTGCAAGCCCGGCTTCTTTAGGCAGCGGCGGCCCCGGCTCAGATGCCCAGAGAAGGCAGCCCAGGCCCAACCTCGAGGCTCAAGGCCCCAGGTTTCCCAACCTAGGAGGCAAAGAGAGAGGAGGAAGGCAGTGTGAAGGAAACGCCACATTCACTTACCCATCCTGGGCAATACAGACACACAAAGGCACCGAGAGATACGAAAAGACACAAAGACGCGCGCGTGCGCCTGCACGCACAATGGGAGCAGCAAAATCACCCCAAAACTCAGAGACAGACACAGACACACAAAGGTGACAAGGAGGCACACATACACAGAAAAATTTCCTGACGCAATACCGGGGCAGAAATGCATACGAAGACACAGGTACCCGCGTAGAGTGACATAGATACACAAGGACACGAAGATTTACTAAAGCACCTAAGACACAGGCATGGAAGGATCTGCAGATTCACACACACATGCAGCCCCCTCACTCGCACGCACATGCAGATTCCCCAGTTCACACACTCAGAGCCCAGAAAGTCGCAGAGACATCAGAAATACTGCGTGTGTGCACAGATACACGTGTACACACGTTCACTAGAGCCCCAGAGGCTGGAGCGGCGACACGCAGACACACAGATACCCACCGACACACTCGCAGGTACTGGGGTGGAGCGGGAGCCTCGAATCCTCCACAAAGCTGGGCCCCTCCGCGGGGCCCCGCGGCACAGGGGGCCACTTCTGACCAAGCCTCCCGCAGGCTCCAAATCCGATCCGCCCTCTCGCCTCCGGCGGGGTCAGGGGACCCGCCCCCATGCCCTCCGCCCCCGCCCCGCTCCGCGCCGCTGCTCCGTTCCGGGAGGGGCCAGGCCAGCTTCGCCTGGGCTCCCCGGGGCCGCCAGCGCCGCCGGGAACCTCAACCGCCCTCCTGCGCCCGGACGGCCAGAGCACCGCTAGGGATCCAGGAACCACAGCCTGGACGCAGCGCCCGGTGCCGCAGTGGCCTTTAGACGACCCTCACGGGTGCCAGGCCCGAAGGAGTCGCCAACTCGGTCCCGCTATCCTTTCCCTTCGCAGAGTCCCAGCCCACTTGTCCCAGGCCGGCCAGGACACTGGTACTGATCCGCGTAGTCTACGGAATCCTGGTCGGATCCCTCGGCCACCTCCACAGGGCGCCTACCTGGACTCAAAGCCGGATTTGTGTAGAGCAGCCGAAAGCAGATCTAGCTTCCCAAGCCTTTATCCCTAAACCGTGGGGCCATCACTCCCTACCCGAGCCTCAGTTTCCAAACCCGGGACGTCAGACTGTCACCCACTGTCTAAATCCCTGCCCGAGACCCTTTCCCCAGCCTTAATCACCCTCTAAACTCTCGTCGGCCAGACCAGCCTCGCTTCCCACCCAATGTTCTGTTCCCCAACTCGATATCAGGGTCCCAAGCCCCACTTTAGCTCACTCTTCCAACCCATTCTATCAGGTCGGAAGCCCCCCAGACTTAGCCCGAGCACAACCTCTGGCGATCCGCGACTCGCGGCCAGCGGTCCCTTTCTACCGGCCTCTGTCCCTCCATCCCCGCAGCCAGCCTTCCCTGCAGTCAGTCCTACAGTGGCCCGAGCCAGGTGGGGTCTGGAGCACTGGACACCCACCAGAGCTGCCCCTGCCACCTACCTGGGCCGAACCTGCGGGTCCCCGGGCGACCGCCTGGGCCCGCGCCGTCCCGTGGAGGAGCCGCAGCGCGTCCCGCAGTGCGCGCGCCCCGGCCTCACTGAGGGCTGCTGCTCCGAGCGCCCGAGCTTTGCAGAATATTAGTAATAAAGATGGCAAGAAAGAAATAAGAAAGCTTTCATTCTCCAACTCCCAGATCAATTTTTCAAGGGGGTGGGGCAGAGAACTGGTTTCGAAGGAGACTCAAACTTCGGCAAGAGGCCAGAAGGGCGGCCGGGCCGGCCAGGTTGTCGGGGCCGGTACCTGGGGCCAGGCTGGGCGCTGGGCGCAGGCCGGGGGCGCAGGGAGCCTTCCCGCGGGGGAGGGGGGCGGCGACGGCACTATTTGACGTGGAGCCGCCGGCTCATCCCGGCGCAGGGATACGAGGCGCACCAATGAGTTCAAATGTCAGGAAGTTTGAGGAGGGGTGAGGCGGCTCCCGGCCGGAGTATCCCTCCGCCACCAGCCCCGGCTCTAAACCGAGCGGCTCCTGCGGCGCACCATGGCACTGGAGTAGTGCGGGGAGCGCGCCCGGAGCCCCGC